TCAAAGGCCCGAGCAGGAAATGGGAGCAGGGAAGTCACTCAGAATAAGGGAAGGGCCACAGCAGAGTGTGCACAAATGCAACACTTCACACCCCAGATTTTAATTCTCCCACCAATTTGGGCTGAGAGCAAGCCTTGGGGATGCCCACAATTCTTTAACACACCTTAAACATTAATGACCTGTCCTCAAGAAATCCGTGAGAGATCTGGGAAAAAAAAATTAAAATATAAAAAACCAGGAAAGGGATAAAATAAACCAGGTTATTCAACAGCTCAGCTGGATTTAATAAGGCAGTAACAGGCAATTGCGTTTAAAATGCTGATAAAGATTTTTGAATTATTTCAGAACATCTGATACGAAAGTTTCCCTGGAATACAGTAATTGCTTATCATAACCACCACAAAGTATGTTTATTACCCACAGAGATAAGACACGGCAGCTGCTGGACTTCTCAGATAAAGCAAGGCTGTATCAGAGCAGCAGGATCCCACGGATTAGGAGCAGGAGAGGATCTGAGTGAACACAGACACCAAAGGGCATCAGTGACATGAAGGAAAACACATCCAGGAGAAGCTCCACAAGCTCCACACTCACCAAGTGCCCCGACACCTGCACACAGGACAGTGTTAGATAGCTCAGACAAGGCTGATGGCACCTGGCTGGGCTCTCCCAGGGAATTTCCCATCTCAGCAGCTGCAGTTGCAGCAGATATTTACCCTCCTGCAAGGAAACACTGATGAGCTCTTCCTCTCCCTTGAAGGCTCCACCACTTTTCAGAATTAGGAAATTCAACCACGTTTCAAGGATGACTTCAGCATATCCAAAGCCAGACAAACCAGAAGCTCTTCAGACTTCCCCCCACATCTGGTGGGGGGTTTAGCAGCTCTGTAAGGGCTGTGTGAAAACAGCTCAATCCTACTTTCTGTGAAGATGGCAGATTCAGTTTTAGCAACTGTGGATCCTCTCACCAACAAGCTGTTAAGTCAGAAAAGCACAAGCAGAGCTTGGAGGTCCCTTACCCGTGGGATTTAATGAATGCAAGAAGGGTGCTTGGAGTGATGGTGTTCCTCGTGTTTGCAGTGTGCAACAGCACCTCCTGCCCAGCAGGAACAAAGGGGGAAACTGAGGCAGAGACAGCAAGTGACCAAGGGATTCAAACCAGATGTGACTGACCAGCAGGGCCAGAATTACTGGGAAAAGGGAGATGGACAGGCAACCAGATGGCACAATGACATCTCCTTCCAAAACCAGGCTAACAATACTGTAGACAAGCAGGTCCAGTTCTTCTCCAGAAAGTAACAAAATTGCACCAGAGTTGATTTTGGCCCAACACGCACTTGGCAAATACTGATAACAGGGATTTACCATATCCCCTCCAGTATTACAGCTGACTATAAAACAAACATTTGCTTCCTACTGATAACAAAATGACTATGAGCACTCAGGGTTTGTAAAGGTTAAGGTTTCTCTGTCACCCAAGGCAGGGCTGTAATTCCCAATGTCCAAGGAAAAAATCCCCTACACGTAACACTGGCCTCGGTTTTCCCTCAGGTACCCACTCACCTCATGAAGAGATACAGTTTGGGATGGATTCCAGCAACAAATTACAATTAGATTAAATATTAATTCCCATCTTAATTATATAACCATGACTAGGCTTAATGGCCTTGCAGCCATTTAAACAGGAGAGGAGCGTGTAAATGGTGCAAAGCAACATCCCTTATGCTGCAAATGCCCAGACTGGTTCCCAGGCACCTGGATTTTTTCCCTGGGAGAACAGCCAGCTTTTGGAAGAGCAGCTCCAAGGGAGGTAAGAATTCAAATCATCTGGCAGGCAATATGGGATCAGGAGTCAGAAATCTAAGGGACAGCACAGCACCCTGCGCTCGGGATAGCTGTGCACTGGAATGACAAAGATCACATATCTGCTGAGCACTTACTGAGGGATTTCATCCTCTCCACACCTCTGACAGAGAGAAACATCTCTACATTTGTCTAAAGGTGGGCCATGAGGATCCCAGGGCAGGTGAAGCAACCGGCCCAGGATCACAGTGGGCACTGAGGTGAGATGTCCTGGATGCAACCCCCAGCCCAGCCCAGCCGTTCCCAAAATCACGTGGCCCTGGTGCCTCTGTGCTGTCCCACAGAAGCTGCCTCCAGCTCCAAATCAGGCTGCACACAGGGAGAATCCTCTCCCTTCATCCCCAGGAAAGGCAGATTGCCAGACATTTTATTTTCTGATTCTTACTTGCACCCGAGGTGGCTCAGGCACCACCAGCAGTCACCCACCCCGGTGGGGCCCCTGCAGCACATCAAACCTGCTGCAGCTGCCGGGAGAAACTCTGCTGCAAAAGAGGGGGGAGATGCCTGAGAACAAGCAGGTTCTGCTTCACTTGTAGACCTCAAGGCAGTGAGAGGAGAGGGCATTAAAAAGAAAAAAAAAAAGAAGGAAAAAGCTAGGGAAAACAAAACCAGAACCAAGCCTGAGCTGTTTCTCCTTCAGGCTCACACAGTAGAAGACAAACAGTGAAATGCCAGCAGGAACATTCCCCACTTTGGAGCAGCCTGTCACGACAGCCCCGGCACTGCAGCAGGCTCCGGTGGGAGAGACCTGCCCCTGGAAACGGGATAAGGCAAACCTCGCTGTGCACACCAGGTGGGCACTGTCGGTGCCCCCCATTCCTTGGGGGCTGTAGGACACATCCCATCCCTGCACCACCCACCCCTCGGAGCGGTGACACCGCAACGCCACAGGATCCGCAGGCAGGTGACAGCGATTCCCAAACAATGGGAATGCCGACTTGCCCGGCACTCGCAGCACTCAGCGGGGTCACGCTGCCAAGGAGAACGCAAGAGGAAGGATAAAACAAATCACAGCTCAAGCGAGGTGATGTCGAAAAAGGAAATCTGTTCTATAGCAAGAGGAATCAACCACAAACCCAAATGACACAAACCCAGATGGATTTCAGCTGATCCCTCAGATGGAAAGCTCAGCCCACTTCCCATCAACATGTTCCCTGCAGAGAGCCCCAAGGAATGGCACCAGCACAACCCCCTTGCCGGAGTCAACTGGAGAGGGGTTGTTTTGTGGTTGCTTTTTTTCCTTAAATACTTTCCTGCTACTGCAGGGAAAACAGGCTCAAAGTCAGACAGCAGAAGGCTTTCAAAAACACTGGATCACATCCCCAGCAAGTGCCACTGCTTCCATCAAGTCCAGAGGGGGAAAGCGTTTTCTGCTCCTCTCCTAGGTACTCCATACCCAGCGAGGCTTGAACTTTTGGATGAAAACACATGGGCTTTGGGATCAAACACAGACTTTCCCAAAACCATTTCAACCCTGTGCCAAATTAATTTCAGATTGAAACAAGTCCATGTTTTTCTTTTCAGAATCAAACCCACCTGTTGGAAAGCACATCCGCATGTACCAAGCGGCACGTCCAGGGACTGCACGGACGCACTCCCTGCCTCCCTACACAAGACGTGGCCCATTGTTAGAAAACAAACAGAAACAATTTTCACTCCTTGCCTAATTGCTCGCAAAAAACGCCAAGAAGCCACAACTGTAAATTCCCGCAAAGCATTTGAACTTTTCTCGTTGAAGTGGGTTTGGAAAAACAACGTCCACTCCACCACCCCCATTTTTTCTGGTTTTTTTAAAGATCATTGTTCTCTATTACAAGCCTCGGGACCCACTTAGCTGTTTGCTCAAACACACAGGAGGTGCAGCTCCCACCCAGTCCAGCTCACCAGCCCGGCTGCTGGTGGGGTCAGAGCTTGCCATCCATCCGGGAAAACCCACAGGCACTGGTGACAATGGCCCATTTACATGGACCGTTATTCACTTCTACCACAGCACCTAGGTCAACTCATAACCTACCCCTTGTACGGCAGCTCGCAATGTTCTGAAGAAAAAGAAAGAAAAGAAAAACAACCCTGCAGCCATCCACGTGCTGTTATTATGCTCTGCCGAACCTGAATGCATCATAAAAGGAATAAAACCGTACAATGACATAGGGATGGCTCCTCCACCGCAAGTATACCCTGTTTAGGAGGGATTTTAAACGAGAGCAAGTCCGCAGCTCACATTTATCAGAGTGGCTCTGCCAGCCTACACCTTTGTGCGTGCACAGGGAATGAACCCCACACACCAAGGTCCACAGTTTGACCGACTCTTGGTGCAAACTTCGACGGCAAGCGCAGGAAGTCCCAAACGTGCCCGGCGGCCGTGTACGTGTGTCCTCGCACGGAGCTGTTTGCGTAACCATTGCAAAACTCGGGCACAAGGAGCGTGGCTATCCCTGGGTCACTTCCTTGACCAACGGGACATCTGCCCGGCCACACATCCCGTGCCAGAGGCAGCAAAGCAGGGGGCAGCGAGGGTCCCCACCATATCCCCGCCAGACACACCTGGGCCTGCTCTGGCCACGCCACGCTGGACAAGCGCTTCATCACCAGCCAGCCTGGCACGGCCACTGACCCTCCAGAGAAAACTTGTCACTGTCCAGGCACAGACCGGGGACGCTGCTTCAAGTCCGCTGCCCTCCCCAACCCAGCCACTGAAGGGGGTCCCTGTGGGCAGCGTCACCCTCCAAGTGTGAGGGTGTCACCCCCAGGGTCACCCTCCAAAGGTGACCCCAGAAGAGGCACCGTCCAGACACGGGCACCTCCACGGGTTGAGGCCATGGGCGCAGCTGTCGCCCGACTCGGCAGGGAAGAAGGGGATGGGGGAGAGCGCGGGGAATGGCCACGGAGGGACGGGACGGCCACTGAAGGGGGGAAAGGGTGACTGGGGGAGAATGGTCACTAAGCGGGAGAGAGAGCTGGAACCGGGGGTGAGAACCGGCGGTGCGAGGGTCCCGTCCGGGCAGCCCATCCCCGCGGAGCCGCCCGCTGCCCGGGCGAGGGCAGGTGGCACCGCGACCGCCCGCGGGCTGGGGGGCACCGACCCTTTCCTCCTCCCTCCCTCCCTCCCTCCCTCCCTCCGTCCCCTCCTCACCCACCTTGCACAGCCAGGACGGCGAAGGCGGAGAAGCAGAGACAAAGCAGCAGGTCCTCCAGCGCCATGTAAGCCCCGCCGGGCGCCGGGAGCAGGGGCCGCCGCGGCCGCATCTACGAGGGGAGCGCGCTCTCCCGCCGCCCCACCGCCATCTTGTGCGAGCGCCCCGGCCCCAGCCCCAGCCCCGCGCTGCCCGCCGGGCCCCGCTGCCGGGGGCGGCCCTGGGCTGCCGCTGCTCCGCCTTTGTCACCGGCCCGGCCGCCCCTCCGAGGGGCTCCTCCCGCCGCCCGGCAGCGCCCGCACCAACAGGTTGCTGCCAGCCCGGGCGGGGGGAGCGGCCCCGCTCGCTGAGGCGGGGCGGGGGGGGGGTGGAAAGCAGGTGCGGGGCTCCTCCGCCCGCCGGCAGCTCCGCAAGCCGCAAACATTTGTAACGTTTTATGTGGGGTTTTTTAATTAATTTTTTTCCTCCCACATCTCTTTAGGGTTTTTCTTCCCGGTATTGCCACACGTGAGTGTGGAGGGCACCGCGCCGCATGCAGCCGCCGCGCTCCCCTCACGGTGCTGCCCGGGGACGCCTCAGGCGGTCCCGCTCCCTCAGGGAGGGGGGCACGGCAGGTGCGGGGCTCCGGCGGCGGCTCCACAAGCCACAAGCATTTATAACACTTTACGTGGGGGGTTTTAATTAATATTTTCCTCTGACTCTAAGTTTTTTTTTCCGGTTTGGCCACGGGTGAGCGCGGAGGGCACCGAGCCGCCCGCAGCCGCCGCGCTCCCCTCACGGTGCCGCCTCAGCGGCCCCGCTGCCCGTCGGGGCTGCCGAGGCTCCCCGCGCTGGGCAGCGGAGGGAATCGGACACCAGAGACCGCATCGCCATCCCTTTGCTGGGGCTCAGTCTCGAGGCACAGCTCCTCCAGGTGTTTGTCGTTCATTGGGCGTCAAAGCCTGTGCTGCTCAGCTGCCTGTGAAAATAAAGAGAATAAAATACACGGTGTGGCACGTCCGCACCCCATCACTGCGGAGAGAGGCAGGACCCCTCCACCAGCCCAGCTCGTCTCCATGAGGAAGGCAGATGAGAGATGGAGCCCGGTGTTGCTGCCTCCCGGGCTTGGCTTGGCTGGGTCCCAGACACGAACTCCACACCCCTGTAAAGCCACAGGTGCAGGTTTGGTCCTGAGGGAAAGTGACACCAAACCCTCCTTTTGGCACGTGGCACCAACCACCAGGGCAGCTGCATTTGGAGCGGATCTGCTTTGGCCTCCGAAGGGAGATGAAGCTGCCCCGCACACCAGGATGTTTTATCACAGCGGGGTGGAATGTGGAGAGGGCTCCAGCTATGCGGAATATGAAAAAAGAAACCTTTTTAATCCAGACCTTCCTGTTTAATAGCTTGTATAATGAGCTATAAAAACTTAAATGAAACCAGAAAGGCTGCGTGGAGGGAAGCAGGTTTCCTGTGTGAGTGATGCAACTGTAAGTTCCTACTTGGCACTGTCAGCACAGACAAGCCCTGGGAGGCAGCAGCCCCCTGTCCTAGACAGATGTACAGGGAGGCTTTGCCCAGCATCAGGGGGACACTCACAGCACACCTCACTGGGAAGGAGGGCAATAAGGACACAGCAAATCCACTGACCCCATTCCTGCACCATCCATATGCTCACCTCCCTGCGGACAGAAATGGGGGTAATAATATCCACACTCCCCTCCTGCCCTACTCCAGCGTGGAGGTGAACATTAACAACATCCACAAGCCCTCCTTTCTCTCTGTGCCTTTCCCATTTGCTCCTTTCTGTGTGAGGTGGTTTTAAGGTTGCTGTCAAATTGCTTGAAGCAGGCTGGAGAGGAATATCTCCTTGTGCCTGCCAGTGGTTTCTTTCAGACACAGCTCTGCCCTTTTTTCCTCAAATCCCAGACATTTCTCTCTCCCTTTAAGCAAGGAAGACTTTACCTTGCAGCCGGGCAAGTCTGGTGTAATATAAATAATGAAAATTGTTAATGGCCTGCAAGATACTGCACACTCTGGCTAAGGGCTCCTACTGTGTTAAAGTGTTGATCCAGCTCCCTGTCAACAGGTCAGGATTAGAAGCAGCCACCAGCTTTGAAAGACCCAGGTCTAACTCCTGTCTTAGCTCTTTGATATTAGTGTTACTCAGTTCCTCCGAGGCACCTCCCTGTCTTCCCACATGTCTGTGGAAACAGCAATAAAACCAGCATTTTGACAAACCCAAGCTTGCAAAGTATATTCTTTGAATATCTATCCCCGGGGAAAAGAAAAGGAAGATGGCTTGGCAAAGAGCCCCTGAGCTGAGAAAGGAGCAGTAATGTCACCTGGAGCACCAGCTCCTTCACACTGCCAACACCTGTGCTCTGCAGGACTGGCACCAAGTCCGCTCACAGGGGTGAAACCACTTCCCATGGCTCTCACACAGGAGGGAGAGCTGGAGAAGGAGTCACTTTGTAGACTGGGGAAGGAGTGGATAACTCTCTGGCTGTCAGTCTGTAAAGAACAAAGCGACAGCAGCCCTGCCAACAGAAGGGACATTCCTTCCCTGGACAATGGCATTTCTGCCCCAATACTTAGAGCAGCAAAAGCCTAAGTCTGTGCTGCAGACTCCCCAGCGTTCCCCTTCCTGCCCACGAGGAGTTTCTTTCTGCCTTTCAAGAGCTGCAAACCTCTGATACTCTGAAAGTGGGACGGGCAGAGCAGCAGCAGTAAGTGGCAGGTGTTTGTAGTTCAGCCTTTTGTTCCCCCTTCAAGAGACATTATTTCTGTGCTCCTAAAATTTTTTGGTGAGTGTCAGGTATATGGACAGTGTATAGCACATATCTCTGTTTGTTTGAGATCCCAGGAATAACAGCTAACTAGAGAAATCCAGCAAAAGCTGCCATAAATTTCTTTAGCTCAGCAAACATTTTGAACATCCAAAGGCACGTCTTTAAGGTATAAAGTCCCATTTCAAGGGCCAAAAGCCTCATTTTTAGGCTTTTCCCATTCAGCCAGCCTGTAGCCAAGGGGGTATCCACGCTTTTGAAAGGCTGGTGTAGTGCAAGAGGCCTCGGAGCCTGGGATTTGTGTTACACAGGAATCTGAACCAGAATTCCTCCAGGTTCTGAATCCAAACCCACACTAAGCAGCCCATGTCCACTTCCGTGTAGGATTCAGAATTCATGGATCTAGTTGTGGAAGATACTAAACAAACGCAGGTTAAAAACAAGGTTTGCTAAAGAACCTCCTAAAATACAAGAACAACAGCGGGAAAGCTGTTTCAGAGAGAAAGCAGTGAGGAGCAAGAAGATTCACAGCTTAGGTACTTTCTCTCCCAAGCAGGATTAAACTTCCCAGTCTCAAACACAGCCTTGCTCTGGTTTCTGACCATCCCTGACTCCAGACAGGGCTGCAGCGCTGAGGTTGACATTTTATGACTGATTTAAGCTGCTCTAATTACCAGAAGAGTTGGCTGCTCTTTCCTTTGTGACAGCATTAGTGCTTGAATGAGCCTGGAGCTGGACAGAGGAAAGGATGGTGCTGAAAACTTAATTGGCGACAACAATAACAACAAAATCAGTCCCCTGCTCCAGCTCCCAGTGCAATCACCCAGGAGTTAGTGCCAGCACAAGGAAAGCCATGGGAATACCCAGGCAGAGACAGGAGGAAGCTTTCAACGGCAGCACAAAGCTGGATCAGCTCAAACTCATTGCAAAACTGCAACCTCGGTGTTCCCAGAAGGGGAGTCTCTCGGGGAACTCTACCACCAGGACTCGCTTTGTTCCCAGACTTCTTCTGGTCTGGCAGCAACTTTGGCGCTGGAGGGAGCGTTGACTTCCAGACGAGGAGAGTGGCGGTGGCCTCCTGTTCCGTATGCGCCGGCAATGCCAAACAGGAGCAGCTGGTTGCACATAATAACATGCATTGTGTAAGTGAGCAACACAATGAGCAATTTGCTCGACAACCCGGGGACATCAGGACAATTCTGTATCACGGGGAAGAAAGAAAAGAGGGAAAAAACATGTGATGACCAAACCCTAAGGGAGACTCAGCATCCCACACATCCATTTCATTACGCTCGCTCTTATAAATATTTATGACACAGCCTATCTCATCATTCTTCCAGGAATGGGTGTTGTGTTATTGTTATACCCAGGGAGGGCTTTCCCTCTTCCTCTGGTCCTGCTGCAGGCAGTCAGCAGTTGCCAAAGATAGATTGGGAGCAAGAGTGTGACATTAACTATGGAAAACGCTGCTTAAAATGGAGCTCAGGGGCAGATATTGGCAGGTGCATTGTTAGGAGGAAAACGAATGGAAGAGGAAAAGGCAGCACGTAATGAGATTCGGAAGCTCGTATTTAAAATATGTTCATGGCAAAAGGGATTTCTGCACTCAAGGGCGCTGGTCCTACAGCCAGAGCCACGGGGGAGCAGAGACTCAAACCCTGCAGAAGGAGCCAGGATGGGGGAGTTCCAAAGCAGAGAGTGGTTTTTTCTCCTCGATTTGTGTTGTTACCTGGATGTCCCAGTGCCCTGTTCCTTGCTCTTCCTGGGACTTGTCACCCCAGTGAGGCTTTGGAAAATCAAATGTGAATGTGCCTTACACAGAGACATGACTGATGCTGAAGGGAAACAACAAGAAAGGTGGAGAGGGACTCTTTACAAGAGCATGGAGCGCCAGAACAAGGGGAAATGGCTTCAAACTGAGAGTAGGTTTAGATGGGATTTTAAGAAAAAATCCTTCCCTGGGAGGGTGGGGAGGCCCTGGCACGGGTTGCCCAGAGAAGCTGTGGCTGCCCCTGGATCCCTGCAAGTGTCCAAGGTCAGGTTGGATGGGGCTTGGAGCAACCTGGGATAGGGGAAGGTGTCCCTGCCCATGGAGGCAGGTGGGAACAAGAAGATCTTTAAGGTCCCTTCCAACCCAAACCATTCTTTGATTCTGTGATTATTCAAGAGGAGTGACCTGGGTTGGGTTACCGACAGTCTGAAAAAACCATGTCAAGGCAATACTTTCAAATGAAATGAATCTGCTCCATTTCAGTCAGTCTCTCGTCCTGTCACTGAGTCTTTTTTGTGCATATTTGTTAATGGGCTTGTTCACCGTCAGCTACAACCAAATAAAACCCTACGAGAACCATCCCAACGTGTTACAGAGCAGTTGTGTGGAACATCACTGTCT